CGACGGAGTACCAGTCCTCAACAGCTTGGTGATTTGACGCCCGTGTTCAACCACACACCGGGCGCTGGCGCTCATACACCCTATTTCTGGCGCTGATGACTCCGGGTATGGCTCATCGGGCCGACCGTAGTACCCCAAACAGTTGCCGGCCCGGGCACTGCACAGGAGAGTTGGAGCACCAAAGGTTGTTTGCTCCGGCTTGTCAGTGCTACACCACCCCATCACCACCACGTAGGAGAGCAACCGCCATCAAACAGGAGCCGCGCCGAGCCGCTTGTCCTGTGTTGCGGGCAATCACAGACGGGGAGTTGACGCCATGTATGGTTTGCTGCGTGGCTTCAGCGGACGGGGCTATTGATAGGAGGGGTATGTATGTACTGTACGTGTGAGATAGATAATAACATGGTCGCGCTGTCCACTTGTGTCGTTCGTGTACTCCTCTTACGTCGGAGATGTTGCTTGTATGGAACCGTTTTGCTTGTCTGTGGTCTCCTATGTTATACCCTTCTGGCCTTGATGTGACGGATTCTGTGCCCGCTACTGCGCTCGTTATACGAGATTTCAGCCAGCACACATATTTGTGTATACTTGTGGTGTTCCTTGCCAGTTGGATGAGTAATTCGTCTAAAGGATGTTATTTAAGGGGTCAACCTGGGATCATAGGCCGAATTGAGAGCAGACAGTCCAACATCCATCCGCCACTATTACTATCCCAATACGACGAGCAAGCCGTGTGAGGACAATAGCCTCTGATATCCATCATGCATCCTAAGCATAGCGAGGTATGTACGCACCCCTGTTCTCTCCAGTGGCCAGTTCCTTCTATCCAAGCCTGCCATATTCTGATCGCAACTCCTTTGAACAAAAATAGCCCAGGACCGAGAACAGCCCCGTTTCCGAACCCGGGCCCTCCACTGATCCCAGGCCCAGACCGTGTCCCGAGGCCACTCCCATTCCCGCACCTGGCGTCGACGAGTCAGATTCCGATTCCGGGTCGTCTGACGAGGAGGACTGGAGTGATGAGGACGAAGATAATGGAGACACCGTGGGTGCTGAGGGGGCTGGAGATAGTGAGGACGACGACGACGAGGAAGACAGCGAGGACGACTTCTTCGAAGACGAGTACACCTACGCGGAGGACATGAACATGGACGTGGACGAAGACGAAAACCGCCCCAACGAAAGCCGAGATGAGGGCCGCCGTATTCTTCAGGCGTTGGAACAGCAAATCATGCTCATCCGTCGCATGGAAAGCGTGTTACGCGAACCCCCCAACATCCACCCTCCCCATTCCGACCTTAATTCCGGGTTCCAGGGTCTCATTGGGCTTGGAATTAGGGGCCAGGATGTTGGGCATGGCTATAATAATAACATGGACCTCCGCGAGGCTGCTGTTGTGAGGATACTCACCGACGAGGAGTGGCATGCGCTGACGGTCCGGAGCATCGGCTACTGTCCGGGCTGTCCGTTTTGCAGCTACTGGTTGGGGTTTGTACAGTGGCGGCCCGACCGGCCCGAGTATTGAGGCAGGAGGTCACTAGGGGGTAGGTGGCGTTGGAGAGGGTATGTTTGGTGACCGTCTGGGCGGTCGGGTGAGGTGAAAGGCGTTGAATGTATTGAATCTCAGCTCACGTCACTCCCGTCTTGAAGAATATCCGTCGATTTCCCCCTTCTATAATCATAGCGTAGCGTTAACCTTTTGGTCTTGTAGCCCCCCTAAACAACGCCATAGCAACCAGCAAATAAATAGCAAACGGGTATATGTGCTCCTCAAACGACAATGCGTGCCAAAAATCCACTTTTAATACCTACTCCTTTGCATCCACCAGCGAGTTGAGATCGATTAGCCTCCGCATCTCCGCCCACTCTGTGTCGAAGCTTGGCTGGTCCACAGCAGGGATAGCCGACTCGATCCAGAACTGCTCGTCGTCTTGTGCTGCCTCCTGCAGCCGCGGGTCGATGGCGTCCTCTTCCTGCCACCCGGGGTGGTCGTTCTGCAGATGCTTCTCGACGTCGTGGTGCCGGATAAACTTGGCGTCGCAGCCCTCGACGGAGCACGGGATCGTCCTCGTCGGTACAGCAGCAGACATCTCGTCTTCCTCGCCCGGCAGAGCCGACTTGACCGTGTACAGCCTCGGCGGCCGCTTCCTGCCCAGATGCACATAGCGCACATGCTCCTCCAACTTCAGCTTGCTGATGAAGGCCTGGTCACAGCCCTCCTCTTGCCAGTTCCAATCCGCGATATCCTCCGTCTCAAAGGTATCTACCTGCCCACACACAAACCGCAGCCCCTCGTGCGCCGTCCGGATGTGCGTATTCAGATTGGAGACGCGCGTGAACTTCTTCCCGCAATCCGCCCACGTACACTCGACCGTCTTCCTCTCCTCGACCGTGGTCCCCGAGTGATACATATCCACATGCCTCTCCAGCTCCGCCTGGCCGCCACACTTGACCTCACAAAAGGCACAGTTGACGTGCTCCTTGCGCATGTGGGCCTGCAGCATCAGCAGCGTGCGGAACCCAACCTGCCTCCCGTCCCCATCGCCCTCGTCCATCCCACCACACTCCTCACACCAGAACCGCACCTCCCCGTGCTCCCGCTCCACGTGCCGCCGCAGCGCGCCCGCGGCATCGAACCCGGCGCCGCAGTCCTCGGCGCCGCACACAAACGCCGCCAGACCCAGATGCGCGACCCGCACGTGGCGCTGCAGCGTCTGGTGCTTGCGGAAGCTGAGGCTGCACGCGGCGTCGTGGCCGCGGCAGCGGAAGCGCTCGGCGCCCTCGTGCACGGCGGCGTGCCGGCGGAGGCGCGTCGCCGTCACAAAGGATTTGCCGCACCCTTCCTCGTCGCACGCGTAGCGCTTCTCGTGCGTGTGCGAGCCCTTGATGTGCTGGGCGAGGTGCTTCTCTTCGAGGTAGGCCTTGTCGCAGTCGCCGTAGGGGCACTTGTGCGGGCGGTCGTTGGTGTGGGATCGCAGGTGGGCGGCGAGGCGGGCCGGGCGGTTGAAGGTTTTGGGGCAGCCCGGGTAGGTGCATGTGATGGTCTTGAGGTCCGAGGGGAATTTGCGGGCTCGGCGGGCTGAGGGAGAGGCGGGGACCGAGGTGGCCGTTGGGGTGAGGGGTTGCTGGGCCTCGGCCTCGGTTTCTTGGGTTGTGGGGGGTGGTGACGATGACGCACTGATGTTGTCGCTGTCGTCGGGGGTCGAGGTTGGGAGTAGAGCGGATGAAGGATAATAGTCTGCGTCGGCTGCTTGGCTAGGATCAATTTGCTGCCGTTTGGAAGGGCCAGGCGGCCCTTCGTCTTGGGCTACAGCTTTCCGCTTCATGGCTCTGGCGGATGGGAACCGGAGGCCAGAGCTCGGGGTGAAGACGAAACGGTGGAAAGCTGCAGATGCAAGTCCAAGTTTGAGTTCGAGAATCCCCCAATTTCTTTTTGTGGGTGCGTCGAGTTTCCTCCCGGCAGGCAACGGCGCTAAGGGCACCCCGCCCCGTGGACAGTATAAGAAGGCTGTTTGAACGCCCAGCTTCATGGCAGGGGAAAGCGCCCCACTCAAAATTTTTACTGTCCCTCCATCCACGAGCCGCCTCTGCCATTCGCAGCCGATCCTATCATCAAACAAAGCAAAGCAGCAACCTTGCAACTCGGCATTGTCACTGTCGCCCATCACCAGCACATCAACCCCTTTTCAACAAACCCACAATCTCTCGAAACTAATCGCAATGTCTGACTACGGCGGCGGCGACGACGACCGCGAGCCTCTGTACGCTTCCCCCCGTCCACCCTTTCTCAAGCATCCCCTCTAACCTCTAACTCCCCCACAGCAACGACGAGCCCGCCTTCGACGAGGATCCCGATGAGTACTACGAGCCGGAGCCGGAGGCTGCCGACGATAACGATGCGACGGGCGCCGCCGAGCTAGAGTGCGAGAACCAGGACACGGACCACGTCGTCGCGTCGGGCGACCCCAACGCGGCCGCCAACCTCGGCCGGGGCAACGAGAAGTCGCACAAGGACAAGAAGATCCCCAACGACCAGCGCACGACGACGCCCTTTATGACCAAGTACGAGAAGGCGCGCATCCTGGGCACCAGGGCGTTGCAGATCAGGTAGGTTTTTGTTTGTCGGTGTGGTGGTAATGGTAATGGGAGAGAGGGAGGGATTGGGAGTTGTACGCTGACGGGAATTTAAATCACCAGCATGAACGCGCCAGTACTGGTCGATCTCGAGGGCGAGACGGATCCGCTGCAGATTGCCATCAAGGAACTGAGGGAGAAGAAGATTCCCCTCATCGTGCGTCGGTACATGCCGGATGGATAGTAAGTGCTCCTCTCGGCTGACCATCGCTTGCGAGCCAATGGCTAATCATTGACTGCAGCTACGAGGACTGGACCTGCGAGGAGCTCCTCCAATGAGGCGGATTGTATGTTCAAGGAAATCAGAAAACCAAGATTGCATTAGCGATGGCGTTGGGGTATTGTTTATTGCTCTGGAGATTGGGGGGGGAATCACTGAGGGCGGCCGGAGGACCCATCAATTTTCATCCGGTGTAATCCCGGGTAGGCCCACCCGAGATGTTGCTGGCTGTGTTTCCCTTTGCTGTGGTGAAGGATACCTGCGGATTCCGAGCTCGACTACCTGGTCAAGGGGGGGGTCAAACGAGCATGGGTTGATAGCCACAGGCTTGCATTAGGATAGGACATGACAAGTCAATAAATCCTCTCATGGCACGAGGCAAACCCAGCGAACTGTGAGACGAGTCCATCACAGCCTGTGTTTGCACCCCAAAAAAAAAGAAATACTCTGCCAGATTCCGCCGGCTCAAATGCAGGGCAAGCAAGGGGCAAGCAAACAAGCAACCCACAGCCAAGCGGAGCTCAAACTTGCATCCAAGCCCTCTCACACCACAAAACCCACTCGCAAACCCACACACAAGCACAACTAGGTACCCAGGTTTCCACCACACCATGCATGCACCGCCCAACAGCAAAGAAGAAAAAACGGGTGACTAGTCTAGTGGTCAGGACGTTTCGTTGTGGTTTCCAAACAAGATCCTCCAACCTTTCCGAAGAAACCCCGGTTCGATTCCGGGGTCGCCCATCCTTTTGTTTTGTTTTGGCTCTGGAGTTAGTTAGAGAGGCTGGATAGGCTGGATTGGAACTGGAGTGAGTCTTCTTTTACGCGCCGTTCGAGGACACGGCCGTCGTCTCTTAGTACCGTATTAGGTGGTGAGATGGGGATAAATTATTTGCCAGTATTTTTTACCTTGTTTGCTCGTGTATTGCACGAAGGCTCCCTCTAGTTATAACACCCCTCTAGTTATAACACGCGACTTGATTGTGTAAGTGTGTGTGTGTGTGTGTTGAGAGCAGTCCTTGCACCACTTCAATATAGAAACAGGCCCGCGAAAAGGAGGAAAGCGGCCAACACTTTTCATCTACTCTAGTGTGACAGGAAAAGGGCCACGCCACCAAGGGAGTCTCACCATACAGAGCAATTCACCATCAGTGACTACAAAGAGATGAGATGTCGGAAAAGACACTAGATATTATTATTTACGGGTATGCCAAGGAGCGTAAGAAGCTAACTACATTTTTCGTCATTGATCCATCATCCCATCAAGCCAAAAGTCCCCAGCCCATCATCATCACCCCCTTCAACCCCTTCCTCATGTCATAAAGCTAGGTAATTACCACCCGCCATACTTGGGGCACTTGCCAGAGCCCGTGACACCCTTGTTGGTCCACAAGCAGTCGGCATACTGAGCCTTGCACTTGACGATGGCGACGCCCCACGAGTCCTGCCACTTGAAGGTGCGCTTCTCGATGCTGCCGGCAAACTCAAAGTAGCTCTGCTCCTCGGCGCGGCGCTTCGGCTTGAGCTTGCAGCCCTGGGCGTACACGTCGACACAGTCATCGTACTGCTCCTTGCAGGCGTCGGCGCACGCGTTGGGGCACTGGTGGCGCTGGTACTTGACGCACTTGCGGCTCTCAATGTCGTTGTACTGCTTGAAGGGGTAGTTCGGCCAGTCCTCGGCCAGGTCGTTGCACGTCACGACGGGCATCTCGATGCCGCCGACCGGCTTGCCCGGGCCGTAGCCGTGGAGCCAGCTCGTCGGCTGTTGGCAGATGTTGGTCGGCGTCGGGACGGGAATCTTGGTGGTGGAGGAGGTGGCAGGCTTGGTGCTGGTGGCCGGCGCGCACGTGGTGGTGACGGTGATGGTCTTGGGGGGCTGGGCGCCGCCACGGGGGGGCTTCTTGCCCCAGAAGTCCGACTTGCGGCAGCCGCCCGACGGCTTGGTGTCGCAGTACTTGGAGACATCGGCGCACCACTCGCCAAAGTCGAAGCAGTTGAGCACGTCGGGCCATCCGGCGTGCTTGAAGCACGAGGCGACCTGCAGCGTGCAGTGCGACCACGCGCCCTTGCACGTCTTGGCGTCCTGCCAGTCAGGGAGGGGCGAGGAGCACCACTTGCCGCACTTGTACTCGCACGTGGGCGGCACGACGGTCGTGCTCACACAGGCGGAGCTGCTGGTCGTCGTGATGGGCGGCTGGGTGGTGGTCGACGTGATGGGGGGGCTGGTAGTCTGGACCGACGAGGTGGAAGTCGACGTCGGCGGCACCACGGAGCTGCTCGAGACGGGCGGCTCGTAGCCACAAGGCTCGAGCGACTGCAACTCGTCGGAAACGAACAGGTTCAGGCGACCACGGCCACCGCAGGTCTGGGACGAGTCGCCATTGCAAGCCATGTCGCACTCGCCGGCAGGGGCCGCAAAAGTGCCGTTGCCAATGACAACACCGCAGTAGCATTCACCTGTGTTCCACATGTCAGAGATGGGGGGTTTCTCGGGGTTGGGAGTATCTATCACATACCACCAAACTCGGTACCGGCAAAGGGGAAGCCACCGTCACGGCAGGCCAGCAGACACTTCTCGGTGGTCAGGGTGGCGCCGTCGACCTTGTCCTGGCGGTAGGTCAGAGCGCGGCCCATGCTCGAGTCGTCGGTCCAGCAGCCCAGGGAGTCGTAGTCCTCAACGGTCACGTCCTCGATGGGGAAGGTGGGGTCGGTGTAAACGGAGAAGATGTTGTCGCCGCCGCACGTCTGGCTCGAGTTGCCCTTGCAGGGGAGGTTGCACTGGGACTCCTCGACCTCGGGGCCGTTGACCGTAGAGCCGCAGTAGCACACGCCGTAGTAGACAAGGCCGGCATAGCGATAGCCGTTGCCCTTGCACTCGGCCATACACTTCTCGACCGTCATGTCATCGGGCGGGGCGGGGCTCCGGTAGGGCAGGATCTGCGGGTTGCCCGAGTCCTGGAAGCAGCCCGAGTAGACAAAGGGCCGGAAGGGGTCGAGGCAGGGAGGAAGGGGGACCTCGGTGGCCTGGACGTGTCTGACCAGAGCCACTGCCGCCATGGCGGCGGCCATGGTCCTGAGAGCGGCCATGTTGGCGGAGAGAGAGAACGAAGGCCTGACTGGAGCTGGGGGGCAACAGTGCAGTGGGTGTAGAGGCGGGTGGTAGCGAATGGATGAGGACCCTGGAGAGAGGAGAGGGAGGCGTTCCCAGAGTCTGGGGAAGCCGATTCTTTTATGCATCCATCACACGCTGCGAGGCGAGAGAGGTGGTAGCAACCGCGGATTTATTGGACCAGGGTAGAGCTGGGGCCGGGCTGGGCTGGGCAGTCGCATCGAGGTACTGAATAGAGAAGCGAAGATGCCGGGACATGACGGGCGCCCTGCGCCCTGGCGCTCAGACGGCTGTGACTGGTAGTTGTTGATGGGGCGCAGAGAAACAAGTCAAACCTCGTCGTCGCCGTCGCCAATGTCGACGATGCAAAGGAGCAAACTGAGCGGGCTCATCAGGCGGGGATGACCCTACCTTCTCGATAGCATGGATCGCAGCCCAACGCGCGCCCCGAGTACGCCAAGGTGTTGGAACGAGACATGCGGCCCCATCAGCCATGCGGCCCCATCAGCCATGCACGGGTGCTCGATGCATGATGCTGCCGTCGGTCGTCTTTGGTGTGTTCAGGTGTTCAGCTCGGGGACCAGGCAGGGGCCAGGTGCAGCCCACTGGACTCCAGCTGGATCGGGTGGGGACGGGACTGAGCGGGAGCAAAACTTAGGTCGGGACAACCTCAAAAAGGGAAGCGGAGACGACCGTGGTCCACCCCGCCATTGGCCGATCACGGTGGACCTGCATTAGCGCAGACCAGGGTCCAGCTTCTGGCCCAGCGTGCCCAGCTTCTGGCCCAGCTCGGATCGCGAGGCCCCGCAAAGCGTGGACCCCGAATTGTCCGACAAGGCGCTTCTCTCCTTCTCTCATCACAGTTTCCGACCGAGTCCTCGATGTTTGTTGAGCAGGTTCGGATGATTGTCGGCTCAGAGATCAGAGCAACCTTGTCAAGGTGGTTGTATCTTGCATGCTACCAAAGTGATCCTCGTCCTCCCGAGTCTTCCCTCCTACCTCAGTCGGCACTCGGCACTGTACGGAGCATGGGGCCAAAAGAAACTACCCAAAACAGCTTAGTACCCAGGTACTTATGGTAGTGCCATTGCCTTGGTTACTAGAGCAAGCTAACATAGAGACTTCAACGCTAACAGACTGGGTTAGTTTCTTTTGGCCCCATGCTCCGTAATTGAAGTCTATCCCGTTATCTCCATCATCGACCCAGTCACCACGATCGTCCCACCGGCAGAGACCCGGAAACCCGCAAACCCGCAAACCCGGTTCTCCACTGCCTCGGCAGTTCATTGTTTTTTGTGTGTACATGGATGTCCACAGTAACATATTTTTAGATGATAATGGAAGCCAGTCGCTGCGGCCACGAGGAGACGCGCGCAGACAATATTGAGGCAGTCTGCATATTTTTATTGCTTATTCTCCTCGCCTGTCAAACTGCTGTCACAGCATCCCGCCGCGTCGCCTGCTCGTGGCTGACTGCTTGCCTGCGCGGTACGAAGTACGATGGCAGGCTTGCGGTGGCTCGCCGTGTGCCGCTACGACGTGGTGATATTGCTTTGCAGCGAGCCAGTCAGTGGGCTGCAGGTGCCCAATTTCCCATTAGGTAACGGTGCCAGAGAACTCTTGGTGTAACCGTGCCACGCTCGAAAAGGGGAAGGAGAGAAACGAGGCTCGGGGAAGACGCGTCTCCCTTTCTGGGTTCTGCACTGTGAGAGAGAGAATAGCCTTCAGTCGCATTCCCTGATACTCCCTGTTCGCAGCCTCAACTGCATTGCATAACCCGGGTGCATATTTAGTATTTAGTAGTACTATTGATGCCATGGCTGAGCAAACCCGCGCTCGGCCGCCCAAAAGAGCTCGACAAGCGAACTCAGCTGAGGTTGGCCTGCAGTCCCCTCCTTTTCCTCCTCCTCCTCCGATGAGTCCGATCTTGAGATTCCCCACGAACTTAGAGTTCTAGCCCAACGCACAAATCTGCCTTTTTGTTCATCTCCACCCAGGCCCAAGCCACCCCCTCCCTCATCTCTCAGGGCGTCAGGGCTCCCTCCCGGACCCGCATGACTCGCAGCACCACACCTCACCTCACAGATGGTTGCGCCTGGAGCGTCTAGAGCGTCTGCAGGCCAACCGCAGCCTCGCGGCGCATTGCCCGTGCATACGAGCTCTTTTTTGGTTCCCGAAGCCCCCAATGACCGAGGAGCAGAGCAGCCTCACCTGAAGCAAGCTAACTCACCAAAGTGTAAATATTGCAGCCCTCGGCAATCTCTTGCCGGACTAGGTTTGCGCCTAGATGCGGTTGTGAGTTGTGAGCTGTCACCTGAGCCCAGGCTTGCCTGAGCCGTATTGTTGCGCCGAGCAAACAAACCTGGAGACTCAAGTCAAACCGTCCCGGCTTAGGACGGGTATCGAGGTAGTTACTGAATATAGAATAGAGCGGAAGGATAAACACAAATCCGCGCTCAACAAACCCCCAGAAAAAGAATCCAGCATGTAAGTAGGTAGATCTTCCACAGATTCCCGAGAAGATCCGCCCCCAGCCGCCGAAGAACAACCCCTTCCAGACTCCACATCCACATCCACACCCACACCAAAAAGCCTAACCCAACCCATCACCTCCTCCGTTTCAAGCCCACCAGCC